TCGTAAAAAAATATTCCAAAATGGCGGACTTATAAGACACGGATGACGAGCGCCTCGAAGACGGAGTGTCCAGTTGGCGGGCACGATGGAGCTCGTAATTTTTATCTGAAATCAAAAATCCAAACAATTTGTTAATTTTATAAGTTTATCTTCTGTGTGAACTTCAAAAATCCGGAAGAAATCGCGAAAAAAAAATTTATACAGTTTTAAACAAAAGTGTGAATTTACGTAAAAAATTTTTTTTTTCAACCTGCTGTAAAAAATAGTAAAAATGACTTTTTTTTACCAATAAGTAGATTCACTTAGAAGAGAATGTAATACTGAAGAAAATGCGCTTTGTCTAGTTTCGATAGATTATATACTTTTTTTTAAATCCCGCCAATTCGAAAAAAGCGCAAAAATGAAAATTCGAGAAAAAGCGATTTAAAGTTTTCGATGTGAATACTATGAGTTATTGGCTACTTACAGCAATTATCGACTAATCGGCTATTCTTGCACCATACATAAGTCCTTCCTCTTCTTCGTACAACTCGTTCGCATGCATTTTCTCCATTCCAGAGTAAAGATGTGGATCATATATGTATTACGAACCAAAGGATTTAGATTTAGACATCCGTTTTTGGGTCAATGCATTCAAGTGTTTTACTCGGGGATCGGATTGGTTTGTGCAAATTAATTGAATCAAGAATTATTAAAAATATAAATGATTTAATTACTAGAATTATTAAATATTTATTAGTCATTAGAATTATTAAAATTATTAAATATTTAAAAGTTATGAGATGTTTTTTATAACAAGTTTATATTATTTAATTCAATTGTAAATATTTAATCTTCAGATCAATTATTTATAGTTAAGGGTTTTAGAAAATTGGTAAAAGATTTGGAAATAAAGAAAATTCAATTTAAATTAATTTTGGAAAATAAGGAAAGGAATCTAAAATAAAATAAGAATTACTTAATTGAAACCTGATCTTCTAAATTAAGATTCATATATTCACCTTTAGCATATGAAAATTATTTATTTATTTCTAAAATACCTTATTAAATAGCTTTTAACTTATTTACTTGAAAAGGATTCACTAAGAATTAATAAGATCAGGAAATAAAAAAATATTTCAAATAAAATTTACCTTTATCAATTTCTGTATCTAATACTAAACTATAAATGTCACTGATCTATTGGTGGTTGTCAAAGTCAGTTGTTGAATACTGAACTTTACGGTGACTATGATATGTTTGAAAGATAAACGGTGTATTAATAGGTGATTATGAACGCTGAATTAAACGAAGATATTGACTGCAGTTTGACGTACTTACGTAGCTGAACATCAAAAGATTAAGGACTTGAAAGTTCATCCAAGACTGACTTTTTGCAAATGACAAGAACATCGCGCGAGTTTCTTACCACTTCCTTATCTCTTACTAATTAGGAGGGGGAAGATTCTTACCCATGCGAAATCAAAGCTAAAATCAATATTTTGTTTATAGTGACGCGCCATCGCCTGCATGTTATCGCCGTCTGAATTATCAGTTACATCTTATAGCTTCAAGTTATAACTTTCAAGTCTTATAAAATAACTTTAATTTATTTCAACAATTCATTTTTAAATCTCAAGAAATTTATTTGAAAAATGTCCTCTTGTGACACATATTTAAATTTGAGGTGCGTATAGTCAATGCTGCATAAAAAATGTAGGTCAAACCGGTAAAATGTTGGGAACTAAGAATAAAGGAACATAAAAACCATAATAGAAATACATCTCAACATTCGGAACATTGGATCAACGATTTTGATTGGGATAATATTAAAATATTAGACGAAGAGAGTTTCTTGAACAAAAGTAACTGAAATGATATATACTTATAAACAAAAATAGGACTTAAACTAACAAAATGACACTGATTTACTTTATTCGTTATACCACCTCTTTACTAAGTCTAGTTTTCGTTTTTATTTCTTTATTTATTTATACATTTATCTTTACTTTTATAATGTAATATAGAAACTCGATAGATCGCGGCTCACATGTTCTTTGAGAGTCGAACTATTAACATCACGTCGTGCGTTACTAAGTTTAATTTTAACTATAAACACCTTTAATTTGTTACCATATTGTAAGTAATTTTTATTGAATTCTGTCTTTGTACTTTTTGCGTGGTATAGTTTATTTTACTCAAATATTACAGTTAAAACGATACGAATTACATTCTATCAAATGCCCGTATAGCGACTAATTTTATTATATTGGATTCTATAAGTTGGACCATATTTTTTATCATTGATTACTTTGATTGATTACTATCTTAAATATGATTCACGTTTTTACTCCGGAAAAAATTTGACTTCTGCGACTCTAATGTATTATTAATTATATTGAAGAAGACCCAAAGAAAATTGGAACATTTGTAATTTTTATATCTATTTGTTGTAATATACACTTACATTAAAATCCTGTGTCGACTCATATTGGCAATTTTCTTTTATCTGATTTATTTCATAACTTATTTTTAATTTAATAGTTATTATATATTATTTAAAACGTATTGTGTCATTTTTAATTATGTTTTAAATAATGAAATGTTAAACTTGCTAATCGTCGATAAAATCAATCGTATATTATTGTCCGTATAGTGAATAACAAAAAGAAATTCGTGTATAATATTGTTCAAGAACATTCATTTTATCGCAGAAATACTTTTCGAAAATCTGGGCTACTTAAAAGGGCACTCGACAGGATGACGAGTAAAAAAATCGATTTTTAAATCTTATTTTATCTAAAAATTCAACTATTAAAGAATATATTTCTACAGTTTCGATTTAATTTGAGAAAAAAATAACGAAATTTTTAAACATTCCCGAACGTGAATCAAATCGCTTGAGCGCGTCGCTTGGTAGATAATACGACACAAAACTATTAAGATAAAATTTTATGATCTGTAGATCACTATGGTGGACTCAATATTCTGTACGAGCTTCTCTGGTCCTAAAATTTTTTATGTTTAAACTGATTCTTTCAGACAGATGTTTTCTATCTGAAGCTTCTACAGAACCAAAGAGAAGCATGAGAGCGACCATCCCAGCGCTTTTCTGACAGAACTATAAAAACTCATAGTCGAAATCAGAAATATCGATTTCGTCAGCTGCAATTTACTGCACATAAAATTAAATTGTTTCGTTTTCTTCTAATATTTGTAAATATATTGTTTATTTTTTTTATATTTTATAACGTATTTATTTTATAGTAAAAAAAATAAAGATACAATTTTTATCCAAAAAAATCGTAATCTTATAAGATCAACACTTTGTTGAAAATTATTATTTTTAATAAAGCCATGATCGGGCAATAGCGACATCATTTAAAATTAAAATAATACTAAAATTACTAATTATTATGTTAACATTATATTGTTAAGAAATTACACAAAACGTTACTGAATGCATTTAATTTTATTGTCTACAATGATTGTAAGTTTTTTCGCAATCAAGTATTAAACTAATTATACATTGACAATAAAAAATGTCACATTTTTCAAAATATTAATTGGTCTCATTACACTAAATCATATGTAAAAATTGTTTATTAATATAAAATACTTTTGTGTCAGAACTAAAATTTTATGAATGAATTATAAATATCGAAGTATGAATTCAATTCGAGAATCACGGTAATGCCATCTTTTGGTGAATTGAGAACATATTATCTACAGATGATATTCTTACTTTGCAAAGATATATTATTACATTGTAAAAACATTTTATTTTGTTTAATACATAGATAATATAATACTATCAATAATTGATAATAGTAATACTTAATAATATGTATAAAAGTAGAATAAATTCATCTTTAATAAAGTTAATAAAACGTAGTGTATGATCTTAAAATAAAAAATTAATACAGAGTTTAAATAAAAACTTAGCGTTGCACCAAATATCAACATCACAAGTAATAGGTTCGGTGATCGGTCAGTTTCTATATAATCATCCTTTTATATCAAGATTTTGTGTACCGACAAGCAGGTCATCGCGTTGATGCTGTTCGGAAATCAATATGGCGTCGGACATCGTGGTACACTGATGTTAATAGCCGGCCGCTGGTCCATTTTAACGTGGATTATCTTCGAGTGTTTCATACGTTGACAACTATACTTGCCGCTGCTCTGAGGATGCGTGACAATGCGCGAAGAGGCAAGTTCAGAACAAAGGACAAAGCTCAGTCATAAGGAGTGGCGTTGCATCGCGAAAAATGAACGTCGCAGGCGTAAACGGCGGTTAATGGCACAAGAACGTGACGCCAATAAGGAACGTTTGAGGGCAGCACTGAAGAGCAATATGGAGTATATGAAATTTTGCGCGGAAGAAGAGAAGGAAGCGCAAGCAAGAGAAGCATGTGAACGAGAGGAACATGCGGAACGAGAGAGACTCTGGCTGAACGAAGAAGTAAATATACATATAGTTATATTGCAATTATATTATTTTCTTAGTCAGGAATTCTTTTATTAACCTCTAAATCTCTGTTACAACTTATATGCAAAACATTTGTTACATATATCTGTCACATGTTAATAATAAAAATTCTATTACAATATGATTTGTTTAGAGAATTTAATGAATATTCTTTTTGCATATTTCGTAATGTTAGATTAAAGAAAATATAGAATATATAGCTAAATATTTTATGAATTTATGCAATAGCATTAATGAGATAATTGACTGTTGATATGATATCGATCATGCATTCAATCAGTTATATATACTTGAATCGAATATAAAACTTTATTGAAGGCAAAACATTAATTTTTTAAACATGTTAAAATTATAGACTAAATATATATATAAATAATTTATATTTATAGAAAAAGAATATGTAAAATAATAACGTCCCGGGAAAAAAAGTTCCATATATAATTATATATAATTATATGCAAAATATGACGTCCATATATATGTATCTTTTCTTTGTAAAATTATTCTTTAATACAAAATTGATAATAATAAGAAGAAAACAAAAAATAATTAAAAGAATAATTTTTATTAAAATTGTTTTTTTTTAGAAAAAATAATGTTTGAGAAATGAGAAAAATTGCTCATATATAATTATATATATATATATTTGTTTTTTTTTTAATCACTTATATGTGATTATATATGAGCAATTTTTCTCATTTCTTCAAACATTATTTTTTCTAAAAAAAAAACAATTTTAATAAAAATTATTCTTTTAATTACTTTTTGTTTTTTTCTTATTATTATCAATTTTGTATTAAAAAATAATTTTACAGAGGAAAAAAACATATATGGACATATTTTGCATATAATTATATATAATTATATATGGAACCTTTTTCTCGGGATACCTAAAAAATATAGATAATAAGAAAAAAATAACATCTAATGTTTTTTTGCATAAAAAATTTGTCTTATCAATAAATATAATATTTATTACATAATCAATATTTTAATATTTTTCAAACTTTGTTCTCCTTTCCAAGTTATCTTCTTTCATAAATAATTATATGTCTGAAAGATTATTTCTTTAAATCTAAAGATACTGTTATATTTATTTATTTATAGATATAGAAATAATTTACCAGTAAACTTGAAATAAACTAATAACCCTAGGTATACACACTGTTTTTTTGACGACGTCGTATACATATTGGGGTCCCGGGGACCCCCAGTGTGTATATCTAGTCTAGGGTTAATTTTGCAAGTTTGTAATTGAAATTAATTGACTGCTGTTTCTTGATTATCCAGATAAGAGCGCAGAAAACATGGCAAGAACTTCAGAAACAAATTGCGAAGGAGGAACAAGAGAAACGTGAGCAGGAGATGAAGATTCGGGAAGAATTAGAGGCAAAGCGTGCGGCATTATTAAAGAAAAAAGAGGAGGAAAAGAAAAAACGCGAAGAGCAGCTTCGTAAACAAGAGCAGCTGCAGAAGGATATCGACGATTACATCGACAACGGAGTGAAAACTCCCGACGTTCTACGCGAAGTCTTCGACAATCAGCCTACCAAAGATCTCTGCCCATTTTTTACGAAAACAGGTGCTTGCCGGTTAGTACAAATATTCACACAATCACACATGACAATATTCACGATATGATAACATAATGATTTGTTAATCATTGTTTTAATTACTTGTAACAATATTGGTATTCTGAATATGTTGAAACATTAAGAAGAATGATTTTACTCCGCTTGAAGTTATTAAGAGTTATTTTTATTAAATTAAATTAAACTGAATCAAATTGATATTTAATTGAGATTTAGTATCAATACGTTTTATTTACAAACTAAAATCAACTTTAGTTCAAATTATATTTCCATTTTTGTTTATAGAACTCATATTTATCTGTAATTGATTTTTAAGGTATGGAAACGCGTGCTCCAAGAATCATCGTAAAATCTTTTTAAGCAAAGTAATCATGATACCCGGATTCTATTCACACTTCTCCCTTGAGAAGAACTCGGCAGAGCACACG